CCCCCCCCCCCTCCCACCCCCCGGTGTGCTTCTCGGATTCCTCTCTTCGATTTTGGGCTCCAAGGAACAGCTCGGACGAGAAGGGCATCACGCCTTTGCTGCATGCATCTGGCCGTGGGTACATGGAAATTGCCCGGTTGCTGGTGGAGGCGGGCGCGGAGGTCCCGGAGGTCCCAGCCACGGCCCGCGAAGTTGAAGCTGATCCGGTGGCGCCGCTTTCCGTCACGGTGTCGAGCCCAGCGCGGCGTGCAGACGTCTGAAAAAGGGCCCGGATCTCCCAGCTGTCGCTGCTCAGATGCTGATACTTGGGAGGGAGACGGACGTGAATCGCAATAGGTCTCGATCATCTGGTTTGGGAGGATCTTGTCTCATTGTGCGTTCTGTTATGCGCGGCAAAGCAGGCATCAACTAAAGTCGGAGCATTCAACAGGTTCTTCATTCCCAGCGCTGTCGTCCTGGTCATCACTCTGATGCAGAGATGAATTTTAGTCCCGCAGGAATGGAAGGTTCACTGTGGCCCAGGTATCAAGAGTCAGCAGNNGAGGACTCCTGCTGCTGCTGTTGCTGTACCAAGAGCACCGACATCATCGAAACCAGAGAGCGACGATGATGATGACGACGAGCATCATCAGGAAAGGAAGCAGCAACATCAAGCAGCAAACCGCTAACGGCAAACAGCCAACAGCAAGCACAAGCAGAATCATCATCATCAAAAGCAGTTGCAGCTACATTACAACTACAACTGCTGACCATTACCACCACCACCGCCGCTATCACTACTATTACTGTTTACGACTGCGGCGACGACGATCACCACTTCACATCGTTCCATCAGTCTCAATTGTTCTGCTTAGTCTTGCTGTTACTGTTAAAACTAACTAATGTTGCAGCCGGCCTGTCCAATTCGCAAAANNNAACCCCTAACACCCTACACCCTAAACCCCTAAAGCCTAAACCCTAAAAGCCCTAAACCCCAAAACCCTGAACCCTAAAGCCAGGCATTAGTGTTCCGCCCGCGCCTGGTGCTGACGAATGCCTCCGACGAGGGCCTGGACTCCGCCCATGGCCATGGGTACCCATGGGCTCCGTAGTATCTGTAGTCTCCATTGTAGTTCCTTTTTTTGGTTTAACCAATAAAATCTTAAGGGTTTTATAAGCTATCCCTCAAAAGGAACTACAATGGAGACTATAGGTAGTTCCTTTTTGGGGTTTCTATTTAGGATCCTACATGGTGACCACAAAAAGGAACTACTATGGAGGCTTTTGGGTAAAGTCATCGGTGGAGCCCTTATCGGTAGACCCCAAAGCCGCCTACCTTGCACCAAATCCCAGCTGATGGACTGGTGTGCAAATATTTTGGGATTTTTAGGGGTTTCGGGTTCAGAGTTTAGTAGCTGGCCGTTTTGGTGATTCGTCCTTGTTTCGTCTCGGGTTTCAGCATTCATGCTGAAGCGGTCAGTTTGTTGGATCTCGATGCAGATGCGTGCATGTGGTGTGGCCACATTTAGGAATCAGGGTGTAGGTTTGGAGCATGCGGTCTGGTCTAGCAGTCTAGCTTCAGAGATCCAACAGTGCAGCGGAGAAGAGTTCAGGAATTTCTAATTCTGAGGCTTCGCAGACCCAAACTCGAAGTCCTAATCTGGCGATGCTTTTTCTCCCGGGTTCTCGGCCGAGGTCTTCGGCAAAGGTCCGGCACATGGAGCTAAGCTCAACTACACGAGTCCAAGGAAGCAAGATCGTTTCAGGAACTTTGGCAACACAGAGCCGTAACAGAAGCCCTGAGCCCTAGACCCTACACCCCAAGAAACCCTAAGCCCTAAACCCTAAACCCTAAGGGTCCAAGTACCTAATAATCATATACTCTGTTGAATACTAACCTACAAAGCTACTATCCGTAACCCAAGTACATGACTATTAGGTCCTTTGGACCTTAGGGAAACCCTAAGAAACACTTGAAACAACGAGGGGCAGCAGCGCAGGAGTTGGACCTCCAGCGAGGGGTCGTCGGTACGCCTCTGCCAGCTGGGCAGTCTCCCGGCTTACGCGTGGGCAATGTTTCGGTTTAGGGTTTTGGGGTTGCAGGTAATTACCCCTAGGCCCCTAAGTAGTTCCTTTTTGGGATTACCTTATACTATGGAGCATCTGGGTATTCTTATAGATCCTGAACCCTCAACTTTTGAGGCCCTAGATTTTGGGCCCTGGAGTCGCGACCCCTGTAGCGATTGAAGTTTCAGTTTCAAGGAGTGCACAGGAGCCTTTTTTCGATGTATCGAATCTGTTGCGTATCAAGCTTTGTCTGTCTGCATCCGATAGACTTATAGACACAGAGTCCGATAGATCCCAGATGCTACTGGTTGTACCGTGGGAAAATAAAGTGTTTCTGTTTTTTGCACACTGGGCTTATTGCCATCATCGGTTTAATTATGGGTGAAGGGCTTTATTGCAAACGAACCCTAAAGAATCCTAAGACGCCATCTCCAAACCCACAGCTACTAGCGCAAGGTCTACGGTCTACCACTGGCCAGTCTCGGGTGCTTCTCGGTGCAAGCGACAATTCCTTGCCGGTGATACTGTGAGAATCTTTGGGAGATCAACTTCTACGTATGTAGATGTAGTTGTGTGAGTGTGTGTGTGTATATCTATAGGTACATGCATACATATACATATACATATACATGTACATGTACATGTACATGTACATGTACATGTACATATACATGTACATATACACATACACATACATACATACATACATACGTACGTACGTACATACATACATACAGACTATCTATGTATGTATGTATGTATGTATGTAGGTAGGTAGGTAGGTAGGTAGGTATGTATATATGTATATATTCCAAAACCACCCCCACCACGCCACCTTTCTGCATATATATATATATATACACACTCATATTGTGCGGTGTACGACTTGTGCTCTGTAACGTATAGTTTCGTATGCAATAAGTACTGTACCTTTATTTTCGTGCAGATTTGTGTACTCTATCTATCTATCTATCTATCTATCTATCTATCTATATATATATATAGACACACACACATACGCACACACACACACACAGAGTGTGTGCGACATGGTTTTCAGACTTTGAAGATGATGACATAACGAGCACCTGCCTGACTTTGCTCCAGATACCTTCAACTTCCTGAGACCACATGCTACTTTCAGGGCCCACCACTACCGCACTGAGACTTTTCCTGAGTTAGGGTGTAGGGTTTAGGATTTATCTAGTTTGCGGGTCATATGATGTATCGAAAGCGCAGTGTCCCGGATGTCAGCGGCAGGATGGATTGAGAGAAAGCAATACCACCACCTCCAGCAGCAGCAACAAGTGCAACGACTCACCGGCATCGGCCAAGCGATGCAAATCAACCAATCTAGCACGAACAGACAAGCTCCGAAAGCTTTGAATCCCCTAAGCAGCTAAGCCCTAAACCGCCAAGGACCACACCGACACTCCGAACTGCACCGTGCGGTTCCGGCCAACTTCGCTTCTCGGAAAGCACTAAAGCCACCTCAGAGGCCACAGGCCCTGAGGGCCCTAAAGCCATGAACGCAAAGCCTCATGCTAAAAGGGACGCGCTTTTGGGAAGCCCGTAGCTGTGGGGGTGAGCATCATCCCACTTGGATAGCATCTTGTTGTCAGTACGAGGGTGCGGTGCTCGTAGGTGGACTTATTGCAAAGCTCTTGTGCACCAGACAGTCGTGGAAGTACTTCAGACGAGAGGTAGCCTTACAGGCGAGGCATGGCAAGGCAAGGACAGAGTGTGCCATCAGTGTGCCATAAACCATCATGTGAAAGTTCCAGGAGTCGTGTAGCAACAACATCCCTTTAATAGGGAAGCAGGCAGGATCCAGCAGATTTCCAGAGAAAAGGTGCTCGTGTGACCCTACCGGCTGTCCACGACTGGGCTGGAAATCAGTGGAAACAGGCCCAAAACACCTGCGGCGAAATAGAAAACTAGGTTTCCGACCCACCTTAAACCCCCCAAAGCCGTGGCTTTGCAGCTCGGCCCTGCATTTCCAGTATAAGACTTCTTAGGTTACTGAAGTCTTGTTAAGCATCGTAAGCTACCACAAAAAGGATTTCTGGTAAAGTGCTATGGCATGGTTTGTTCATGATGGTAACTTGAGTTAACCTAGAACCCCAATCCCCAAACGCAACCCCTAAACCCTAAACCCTGCAATGCGGGCTTGTCCTAGCAAGGTGGGAGGCAAAAAAAAGCAACAAGAGCCCAGGTTAGCCTCTTCGGGCTCCTGGTCTGGCAAAGTGCCGCAGCTGCATAGAAACCCCAGCTCTGCCTTATCCCCAAGAATTAGGTGCCTAGCTTTCTAGGGATTCTAGGGTTCGTTATGATGATTTCCGTACATCAGCCCCTAAACGGGTAGGTTTTCTGGGGTCAAGGTACGACCTGCTTCAAGATCTGAGCTTCATTTCGGGGAGAAGAAGAGGAGGCAGTGCCTCAATTTTATTTAGAATTTAGGGTTTTAGGGTTTAGGCTTTAGGGTTTAGGGTTTAAGAGGCTTTAAGGGTACGTACGACCAGTGCATGCTGCGAGCGGGCGTGTCGTGTTCGACTTCACCAGTGCTGCATGAGCACCAGTCCACGATTGTTGCAGCAAGTAGTTGTGTGTTGTACCGAACTTTCTTCAACAATCAACAAACGTCGATTCACCCACTGTCAGAAAGGTGATTTGTGGCGATGCCACTGCACGTGGCGCAGCTTTTGCAATTGCAACAGGCGTCGGAGATTCAGGTTTCTTTTTGTGTCGCATCCCTCGAGGCTGCATCTTGTCTGAAGCCCATCTGCTCGGCGTCCGGCACAGTTTAGTCATGCGGTTTGCCAAGTTTGCGTTCTGGCCACAAAGCTGCCTTGTGAGATGCATCCCGCAGGTCAAGCATCCCTGCCGAAGCAGGCAGGCAAGCAAACGGCCGAGATGTGGACCGTCGAGGTAGGGTCATCCCGGTTTCGTTGTATTGGGTGTGGGTTGATAAAAAAGTGAATATGGATACTGCAGTGGTTTGAAGGGTTTTTGTAAGGGCTCCATGAGGGTTCGATATTCTGGGAGCCTGAGTGCTCTTCGATCTCCAACCAAACAGTTTGGAATGCAGATCTTGTGGAGGAGGTATAAAGTGGCTATGAAACTATGAATGCATCATTTGTGTAATGAGGCTTCTTTTTTGTGTATTCTATGACTACCCGAAGTGCAGAATCAGGACAGAAATTTCGTTGCGTACTTTCAAGAGTCTTCCACGAGGACGCTTCTATAGTATCTATAGAACAACTCTAGTGCTTGGCAAGGACGTCTATCAAAAATAGTCATATGGCCCATGACCGCACCGAAAGCGCAGTGAAGCTACCTGTACATTGTACCATTCCTCTACCAGACGTTGGCTGCGGTGGAATATATCCCAAAATCCCTGTTGTGTCCCATCTTTACAGACGACCACCAAATACCATTCCTTACTTGGGATTCCTCATCATAGCTATACCATAATCTACCCCAGAACCCTTCTACTGTGATGATGGTCCCTGAAGACTAAACCCTGTAACAACAAAGAGCTTTTTTGTAGAACCCGCGGAACCCTTCAAACTTCCCCCTTTTGCTTAACGTCCAAACTACCCCTATATTAAAGTCTTAAAGGAGCCGTAGTCTCATGACTAAGAGCCTGTTTGTTAGCCACAGGTGTCACCCACCCGCGGCGCGGTGGCCGTCACCTTCAAAAAGTCTTCGGAGCCTCTGAGGGACTGAAGAAGCGAAGGTTTCGGTCTTAGGGTTTCATTGTGTGGCGTTTCGGGTGTAGGGTATGATTGTTTCATGGTTTAGGATTTACCCGAACCCGAAGAAGGCCTAAGTAAGGACGAGACAAGGAAGTCGCAATACGGAGCCGCTCAGGTGTTCGGATCAAGTTCTCAGGCGAAGAGTGCGGGGGCCAGCCTTCTTGCTCAGCTTAGGGTTTCGGGTTTAGGGGTATTATCAGATCTTGGAGGGAGGGTGGTTCAAGTGGGCAAGGTACTAGAGAGCCTTCGTCAAGGCTCAGACAAGCTCAAGGAGGAGCTGGCTGGCAGCTTGATTTAGGGGCCTGAATAAGAATAGTGCATGATAAGAGACTGCCTATACCTAAAAAAACCGTCAAGAAGCCTAAGGCGCCCGGTTTGGAAGCCGTTTAAGAACCCCGAACGTTTTCCTACTCTCATCATTCAGACCCATATCACTAGCCAGCTCAGACCTTCGGCTCAAGGCCAGAAGCTTCGGTATCTTGTAGGGTCGAGACTGGAGGCACGTCGCAGAGGAGGCTTAGGGTTTAGGGTTTAGGGGAAAAGGGTTTAGGGTTTACCTCTATTCTGAGCGCTGCCCGGCGATGACTCCAAGCTCCATGCAGCAAGACCTTGTCACCTTCATTAAAGAAGCTGAGTCCATGCCCGCATCTGTCTAAGTGTCGGTCTGGTCCCTTGGAATATGCATAAACAAGAGCTTTGCAAGTCTTCAGCAGGAGAGCCACAAGGGTCTTAAGTCGCATGTGCGCCTGCACAACACTACTGGCGTTCCTGAGAGGCATACGCTTCTCTGATCGATTAGGCATACATCTAATCGCCTGGTTGTGCGGCATTGATGACTTTCCAACAAAACTGGTGACGCGGGTCTGAAGAAACAAGAATTTCCCTTCATCGTCCCTACTTGAGTATATCACGGAATACACCCAACACCTTCTTGACGAAGACAAAGCGCCGCACATCACGCCACGGTAAGGACTTTGTGGCCATCAACCGTTCTGCTCGCTTGGGCGTTTGCATGGAAGTGCGACCCAAGGGCCTGCAGGTGAGATGGAGGGCGAGGGCTTAGGATATCGGGCAAGTATGCATGCATGCATGCATGTATGTGTGTGCATACACATACATACATACATACATACATACATACATACATAACATACATACATACATACATACATACATACATACATATATAGATAGATCTAGATATATACATGGTTGCATACACATAGACACACGCACATGTCACATAGATAGGGTTAAGGGTTTAGGTTTTCGGGTATCGGTTATAGGGAAGGTTTGCGTGGAATTCAGGATAATTGCCTCCCGCATGGTACGTTGAAAATGCGATGGTTGCCATGCGGCACTTGCACTTCTTAAGAAACAGGTTCAAGACTTGATGTTCTCTCATCTGCCAGCATGTGCTATGCAGGCATGCCTGAGCAACTTCGTTGTGCGGGCAGGGGAAGAGGTGCAGTATGGTTGGTCGGAACCGCACGAGGACCAGCAGCTTGGCATTGCGGGGTGCAGGGGACGGTATAACCTAAACCCTAAACCCTGGACCCTCCTAAACCCTAAGCCCAACCCTACACGCCTGTTACAGGCGTAGCGGGCAGCAGAGCTATGGAGACAAGTCCTTGGTCGTCATCGGCTTTTGAACATCTCGTGGAACCCAAGATCCTGCAAGAAAAACTGTACCGCGCCGTCTTCCATTTCTGTGAACTAGTCCATGTCAAGACCTAACTCTGCAGCTTGGCTCCATGTGCCTCTTTGGCAGGAAGGGACGAATAGCCACAGTGTCGACATCATCTTGAAGACGAGGAGAGGAAACAGAGAAGAAGTGACGCAGCATGAGGCCGGCCGCTTCACGACTTCACAGCATATCTGTTCATAAATGGGGGGGGGGGGGGGGCTTNNGGGCTTTGAAACTCTACGTGTCAGACCTCCCGCCCTGGAGGTGCGTGATGTCCGACGCACCGAGCACTTCGTCTTCCCTGAGCTTGGCCTCACTTTGCTTCTGGGACAGACAGGCTCATCCCTGGGGGGTCCACGAAAGAGTGTTGCAAGAGCACGGCAGTTTTTTCAAGGGAGAGCGCGGCTTCGTAAGTGTGACTGGTAAACTTACATGGGGTTCAGTGTTAGCAGGGACTAGCGACTAAGGGGTTTAGGTTATTTCATGTTTGCTTGCTTCTCTAGCTAGGCTCTGCATTTTTCCGAAGACCCCGGTTGGATTATCCACCACCGCCAGACCAGCACCTCGGCTTAAGAGTCGGTTTAGGGTTTCGGAAGTACCTGTAGTCTCCATTGTAGNNAAGGTAACCCCAGGAAGGAACTACAATGGAGACGTAGTGCTTTTGCTTGGCGATGCTGCTGTTTTCTGCCACTTTCCCGGCCGACTCGGATGCAAAAAATGCACAAGGGTTTAGGCAGTCCCAACCCGAGCGCTAAACCGGTTGAAGTTTAGGGGCCGTGAGGTGGTGTTGTTTCTGCAGGCTTTTCGTGAAAAAGCGAAGAACACATGAAATGCACGACTGTGGCTCCTTTGCCCTTAGAATCCTAACCCTACTAGTCCCGAAAACCTGCCCAAGCTCATCCGGCTTTTTGGCAGGGACTGGCTCCGTGCTGAGTCTCGAAGATCTCAAGGACTCACACGAAGGGCTCGTCTAGGCATTCCTATCAGGGGCTCCTAGAAGGTTTCTGTCAAGATACCTTGGTATTCCTAACTTCCCGCCAGGTTCCTACAAGTACAATGTTTCCTATACCTAAGGGTCCCGATAAGGACCTCATAAGGCTTCTTCCTGGGCTTGTGGTAAGGGTTCCGTTACGAGTTCCGATAAGGCAAGCCGTGTATGAGTTCATCCTGGGAAGGCCAGGATTCTTGCAGACTATAAGCAGGCCGAGCATATTTCAACCCCACCTTCATGGAACCCTTGGGGGGTTAGGGGTTCAGGGGTTTAGGGGTTAGGGTTTAGGGCGAGACCTTTAACAAGGGGCTTAGGGTGGTTTCGGGTTTAGGGTTTGTCGGGTTTAGTTAGGGTGTAAGAGCAGGCAGGGGAGCGGCCCAGTCTTGCACGCAGAAGAACGCGACGGTTACAGGATTTCCGTGCTTGTCTCTGTAAGGGAACAGGATTCAGGCTTGAAGGCTTTATGTAGGGTTGTAGAGGCAGTAGGCGCAACAGTAAAGCCCTGAATGGGTGGCCCTGGGCCATGCCCTTCAGGTTCTTACCGTGCGGCTCCCTGTGGGGCTTGTGGGGTGTACTAAACCCTAAGTCTTCAACCCTAAACCCTAAACCGTGGTCCCATTGCATTGAAACAAAACCCAAAACCACCCCCAGCCCTCCACGACTCCAACCTCCTTTGTGCAGGACGTGCGCCGCTCTGGGCAAGAAAGCGTGTCCAACAAGGGCACGACGAAGCTCAGACCGTGTTGAGATTGTGGGTTCCTTTTTTTCTTCTTAATCATACGAGATGAGAGGCTCCTACTTCTAGTCTCCATTGTAGCCCGTTTTTTGGTTTATGACAACTGTATAACTAGGATCCTACAATTTATTAAAAAAAGCCCCAAAGGGAACTACAATGGAGACTATAGGTATAGTATACTCTTGCCTTCTCTGTTCTTGTGTTCCATCTTTTTTCTGGTGTCACTTGGTTGCCACACATCTCTGGCATAGGGCCGGGCAAGCCCGAGACAGCACTGAAGTTGTGTCTATCTGCCAGATCTTCCCGAATTGTATGCAAGCCGTGGAGGAGTTTCGGATCCAAAATATAACCGTAGAACCCTATGATTTTGAGGGTTCCTTAAAAAATATGCTAGAAACAAGGGAACCCCTTACCCCTAGTCTAGTGAACCCGTCAGGAAGCCGGGGTTCCTTGCTTCTTGGGATGATGTCATGCTCATGTATAGGGTTTAGGGTTAAGGTTGGCAGAGTCTGGGTTCAAAAAAGGGTTAAGGTTAGTCATATTAAGAAAATAATCGAAGCACCAAAGACATTAGCCCTAAACACTGCACTGCACCAGAGACCAACGTTTTCGTAGCCTCTATAGACTTTCGGGCTTGATTGAAACGGCCACCTTTAGGGTTTATAGGGTTTAGCGGTTAAGGGTTCAGGGCTTTAGGGTTCATAGTGGTATGGGGTTTCAGGCTTTTAGGGGTTTAGGGTTTTAATTAGGGCTTCAGAGCGTTCCTGCGATCCGCACTGCACCGTGTCTTGTTTTTGTTTTTCTGAATTCTCCGACTCCGAGGCGGGATGGTACCCAACTTTTATGTACTTTGGCCCCAAATGACCTTTAGGGACTACTTAAAGGCCAAAGTATGTGCTTTTTGGGCGCATGGACATTTAGAAGTCTCAAGGCGGCTAGATGGGTGGCAAGACGACGGCCGTAGTCTACTGACACAACCCAGGAATCCCGGGCAAGGCTCGACGACGCACCTGGAGGCCAAGTGATCTGGGGTCTCAGCATCAGACCTCTAAGTGCCCAGAGAAGGAAATACAACGTATGTTCAGACATGTATGTTAACATAGAGAAATTCCAAGGGTATTTGTTCATGAGTTGAGTCTTCAGCCTCTAGATGACAGCTTTTTATGATCTTATTGAAAGGGAAATCGCTTGTCTTGGGTAAGATGAGTTTCTGTGTCCAGCTACCCTCTCCAATATATTGATAAGACCTCCGGAAGGACTCGACAATCAAGGGTCGGTTGGGGTGTTGACAAGCCCAAACAAAGCCACAGAAAGAGGTCCATGTACAGCTGCCGTGCAACTGCGACAAATCGTCGCGAGCGGTCTGGTCGGCCGAGGGACAGGGTGTGCCGCCCGGGAATTTTTAGGATCTTCGGTTTCGGGTTTTGAAACAACCCCCCGGGTCACCCAGGAGACCCGCAAAGCCAAAGCTTGCCAACAGGTCAAAATCAGCAAAGCGGGCATCTCCATCATCGAGGAGAAGCCTCCCCCAGGCCATCCGGAATCTGCGTGAATCATGATGCGGCACAGCACTGACATGTTTATCGGCAGCATTTTTTCTATATAGACCCTGTTATTGACCTTTCCGGTATCCACTGTGGCTCAAGCTTTGAGCTTTCCCGCAAGCAACGCTTCGAAAACCCACGAAGCTGACTGAAACTTTGCAAAAAATATGGCCGCCGCCGAGTCCCCCGAAGCACCGGAACGAGGTCTCCTGGAAGGTCAGGCAGATGCCAGCTACGGCGCAACCCCGGCGCCTGAGGCTCGATACTATATAGTATAAGGGTTACAAAAAATGATGACTGTTGGGGTTCGGCGTGGGTCCAGGAAAAATCTGAGGGTTTGCTAAGCATTTGGAAGCCTTTTTCCTGAGGCTCAGGGACGGCAGTCCGGTGACGCAGCGCGGCTCTCACCAGAGGAGGTTCTCAATGAAGTGATGCGCAACGCCGACGAATATGCGAAGATCCTGTTGAATGCATTCCTGAAGGGCTTGGCTCCCCTTCTTGCAGAAGCCCTGGGTACCTTTGCTCTTGTGTTCACGGTTGGGTGTGTCGTCACTTCTCCCACCCCATCTCCCTGGTCTGCTACTTCCATCGCCTCGGTCCTGATGGTGATGGTCTATGCCACAGGTCCGATTTCGGGTGGGCATCTGAACCCCGCAGTGACATTTGCAATGGCCCTGGTCGGGAAGAAGTCTTTTGGCGGGGTGATGATCTACTGGCTCTTCCAGTTCACGGGGGCTTTCATGGCTGCTGCCGTCTACAAGATCGTCTGCGCACCCCACCTGGCCGTGGTGGCTCCAGTGCCGCCCTTCAGTGCCGGCTATGCGGCCGCTGGGGAGCTGCTCTACACGGCAATGCTTGTCTTCGTGGTGCTTTGCTGTGCGGTGGCCCAGAAGAACACACCGAATCAGTTCCTTAGCAGCAGAGTGAGCAGGTAACGGTTAACCTCTTTGCCGTACTAGAACCCGTATAAAATCACCTTTATACCTTTACCTCCCTATAGGATGCTGGACAACGTATAAGGTTCTATGGCCTCGCCATCGGCTTCGTCGTCTTGGCTGGGGGCCATGCTGTTGGGCGCATCTCCGGCGCTGCTCTGAACCCGGCCGTCTCCGTGGCTCTGGGCCTTGGCAGCGGCAAGGACCCACATTGGGCCCTGGTTTGGTTTGCCGCCGAGCTCGCTGGTGCTGCCTTGGCGGCTGGAGTCTACCGCATACTACGGCCCGAGGAGTTCGGGAAGTCCACCGGTAGCCCCCCAGACCTGAAGACTCGCTGCCTGGCTGAAGCATTCGGGACCTTCATGTTGGTGGTGACGGTTGGCCTGAACATCGTCAGTGGCTCCCGTGCCACGGCATATTCTGCTGCAGCTGCCCTTATGTGCATGATCTACTCCCTCGGAAACGTGTCTGGCGCCCACTTCAATCCAGCGGTCACTCTCGCAGTGCTGGCGGCTGGCCGTGAGAGAATTTCGCGACGGGACGCAGGAGCTTACATCGTGGCCCAGCTTGTTGGCGGGCTACTTGCAGGATTGGTCTACGCCGCCTACCACATCGGCTCAGCAGTTGCTGACAAGTCGATCAAATTGGTCCCCGGGAGGGACTTCGACCTAACACAGGCATGCATCGCGGAACTGATCACCACCATGTTTCTCGGATATGTCGTCCTATGCATCGCGACCGTTAGGGAGCCCTACGCCAAAGACCTTTTCGGGCTCGTCGTTGCTTCAGCCGTCACTGGTGGCAGCTTTGCCGTAGGTTCGGTCTCCGGAGGTGAGCTCAACCCCTCCGTCACCCTGGGCCTCATGATCGGAAATGTTGCTTAGTAGCTAAATAAGTATACTTTTCAGGTTTTGTTGGGATACGTTTATCCCCCTTACCGCATTTTTGGGCTCATTATGAACTCAGCAACTAAGGTGGTGAACCCTGGTAAGGCTGGCATCGGTCCTCTGGGAAGCTGGCTGGCCTTCATCTTCTCCGAGCTTGCCGGTGGGCTCCTGGCAGCTGGGCTGTTCCGACTGACGCACCGCAAGGAGTTCCTGGGTGACACTTCGGAAAACTTGTTATTTTCCCTGGTGTGGTTCCTATGAAGGTATGCATATATATAAATAAATAAATAAATATATATATATATTCATAAAGACTTAATAAGGGCTCCAGTCAAAAACTACAACCCAGGTTCCTAGAAGAAACAGGCGGCGATGAGAAGGATGATGATGGCGTGAAAGGCTTGGAGAAGGACGCCACTGAGGGGACCAAGGATGTGGAGGCTGCGTGAACGCTGGCAGACGGCCTTGACATGGTCAACGCTGCCACGATGCAGATGCTGAAGAAAGAACACAGGGTTCTCCGGTAGGTCATGAACGCTCTCGAAACCTGCTCTAGCTGTCATATCGCGAAGCTCTCTTTTTTCAGTCCTGCATTCAAGCCGTAGTATACACCCTAAACCCTAAACCCCTAAACCCTGCCCTACACCCTAAGGCCGTAAACCTTGTTGCAAAAACGCCCCAGCTGCCGTTGCCGACCACTCGGCCGCAGGCGAGCCGCGCCCGAGGGAGCTCTTGTTCTGCACCCTTGCCACTAGGCTGCTTTCGACCATAGCTTTAGAGCTGAAGCCATCTGCGACTGTTCACCAGTTGGAGTTCAGGTTTAGGAAGCAGAATTGGCTTCGACTTACTGGCATCCGCAGGAAGCTGAGTTTATAGGGTTTAGGGATGTCGGAACAACAAGACTTCCGACACTCTACGCCCCTTAACCCTGAAGCTCTACAGGGCCTTTGCTCCCAAGAGAGTCGCTGATCCTCAGGACTTGGTGCGCATGGATTGGCAGAAAAACTACCAGGCTTGAAACCAGGGGCGGCTGGGGCTTTTGCATTGCAGGAACCCTGACCGGAATGTTTGATTCCTCAAATCCCAGGCTGTTGTGGCTTCTCTCAGTTGTCCAAGCACTTCTCGTCAGTTTCATGCCTGCCAGACTCATGCACATGCTGTAGTATAATATAGTATAAAACTCTCTGTGTGCACATACTGAAATATGTACACATGCGCATAGTTATATGCAGATATGCACATCTACACATATACCCATATAGTATATACACATATACAGGTACACACACACACACACACCTACACACACCTACACCTACACTCACGTACACACACTACACCTACACACACGCACAGAGGCACGCAGGCACGCATGCACCCACCCGCCCACAACTGTACATGCCAATATACACATGTATGTATGTATGTATGCATGTATGGATGCATGCATGCATGCATGCATGTACAGTATGTATGTACGTACGTACGTACGTACGTATGTACGTATGTATGCATGTATGTATGTTCAACAAATTGCCAGACCATGGCGGCTGGCGGCCTCGTTGCACTCCGTCGGCTTGTTTTCCAGCTTCCGTTTGTGTTGCATCCTCGGCTAACGTCATCACGTGGCTAGTGCAGTGTCACAGTGTCACGTGCTGGTGCCAAAAGACTAGTACGCTAAATACATCCGGATACCTCCCTGCTTGCAGACGCTGCTCCATACCTACCCCTACCCCTTCCTTAACTGTAAACTCTAAACCCGTAAAGCCCCCCCCGAAACCCTGTTACCGCTTTTTCTTGTAGGGTTCCCTGCTGCAGGCCGAGACACTGAAGTTGGCGATTTCGGGCGCCCAGGCCTGGGGAGATCAGCGTCCCAGAAAAGGATGAAAAGGGGGTATTCTAAAGGGTTTCAAGGGGGTTTTGGGGGTTTCAAGGGGTTTAGGGGTTGGGGTTAGGCTTTGAGGATTCAAAGTACCACAAATCTGACCCATTTTGGGGCCTCCGACTGCGCAGAATCAAGTAGGTCCTGATGGGTTCGTGAGGTCGACTGCCAGCTCCCCGGGCGGACCGACGGCGAGGCCGGTTTTTGGGGGGTCGGTTTTGTGTTTGCGACCTCAAACCTCGAAGACATGCTGGATGCTGTACATTGCCTGCTTGGTCCGAGCACGAGCTCCAGAAGCAGAGTCCCGTACCATTTTGTTCGTGGCCCAAGCCGCTTTTCCTCTGAAAGACCCGCCGTTTTCTCCCTCTTCCAGAAGGGTCTACTGGGCCATGAGGCGAAGTTCCTTGGGGAAGTCGGGGGCCTTGGCCTTGTTGCTGGGCCTCTGCTATCTGACCCTTGATGCCCTGAGCTGCTTTGTGGGAGCCGGTTTGACCAACAACCGATCCTCCTCAGTTGAGATGAGGGGATACCGGCTGGACAGGATGCTGGAAGCCACGGATGGCGACCGATCCTTGCAGACCTCGGAGGGCTTCTGGATCGGGGAGAAGGGCTTCGAGAAGTCCCAGTGGGCGCAAGGCTACCGCTACCGCATGCGAGCCTCTCCGGAGGAGTTCAAGAAGGGCATCGACTGTCCCGCTCCGCTCCAGATCGGCCCCATCAAGTGGAAGGTCGGCGAGTGCTTCGGTGGCAGCGGCAACAACGACAAGCTGCGCCAACTCAAGAAAGAGTTGGCCCAGGCTGGTTTGGATGATCCCAAGAAGCTCGCAGAGAACGAGTACTGGCTCAAGCGCTACGGCCGCAAGCGCTGGTACCCCAAGTATGTGAACCAGTCCGGTGCCAAGAATCAGCAGGGCCTCTTGCGCGGCTTAGCAGCCTGGTCCGGCTACGACCCCCTCAACGAGGAGCGTGGCAAGACCTGGATCGAGGCGGATTATGGCAAGCCCCTCATCGAGGGCAAGAAGGACTATCGCCTGCCAGGCCTCCTCACCAAGGAGCAAATGCAAAAAGAGCTTGACAGCGGCAAGCTGCCCAAGCCTGCAGCCTGAGGTCCACATCAAGATCCCATGCCTGCGGTGATTTTTTTAGGACTGAGCGGGCCTTACCATAGGGCTGCATAGGCAGCCGAGTGGCAGTTGCACTCGCAGCCACGCAGTCGGTGAGTATGTCATCAGCATGCTTCTCCATAACCTATGGAACGCAGCACAAAGGTTATGCTCTAGCCTTCTACCATCATCATCGTTTCCAACAGCGCAGTCGGGTGCAAATCTGTTCTGGATACCGGGAGGCCCTCAGCTGCTCGTAGGTTCACATAAAGATGAGAATCGATGTGTCGCGTTTATATATATATATATATTATACATAGAGAGACTCTAGACCCTAAAATCTCGGATTCTGGCTACTTGCTACAAGGATCCTTCTGGCATTTGGGGCCTCCCGAAAAGTTCGTTCATTTTTTCTGACAAGGGCCTTTTGTGACTCGCGACAATTGGCTTGTAGATGTCGTGTGATTGTAAAACCGCTCTGAGACCTCGCCTGGCTAGAGAGAGAGCGAGTGCCGAAAGCCGCTTTAGCCCGAGTTTAGGGGTTTAGGTTTAGTGAGCCGCGAGTTCTAAATCCTCAAGATTGAACAATTATTCCAGGCCGCCCACCGGGGCGACGCTACGCTGGGAAGGCAGCTGGAGGAGCCGCCTTCATCTCACAAGGGGAATCGTAACTACCAATATTATTCCTTAGGGCTCAATGTCGTTATTATCATAATCAATAATATATATATATGTGTGTGTGCATATATATATATGTATATATATATATGTACATATATATATATATATACACTATACTACAGGAGCCCAAAACTCCGCATACATTAGGGTGTTGGATTTGGGCTTGGGGTTTCCTTCTGTTTTCTTTTATGTGTCATAAGCCTCTCCAATAGTACGTACCGTCTACCTACACCCTAAGCTCTGCACCCTAAATTCTAAACCCTACACTCTAAACCCCCTACACCCTAGATTCTAAACCCTACACCCTAAACGGCCCTAAACCCCCTACACCGCAAACCCTGAACCCTAAGGTCCCCCTGCAAGTACTTGAAAGGTGCGCTTGTTTTGGACTGGCAGGCTCAGCCCGGAAGTTCCCAAATCTTGACGAGCAGGTACTCTACTAGTAGAAGCCCAAAATAGTTACCAATGCTGTTCTCAGGGTGCCTTATAATGCTATAAAGTTGCCCCAATAAGTGGCAGGTATTTTGTCATAACTATACAGGAGCCCAGAACCCTTTTCGAATTATCAAGGCCCTTACATGATGTACTGTGGCTTTCTACACGGCTGTGGGAGGGGGGGCTGTGTCGAAAGCCAGCATCTTGCAATGTCTGACGAGACCTCCGTCGAGCTCCTATAGGAAACCCTGGCACCTGGCATGTCGAAATTTAGGAGATACTTGTACCTAGACCCTCCATCCACCCTCGTGTAGATCCTCAAAAAAACACCCATCTTTTTGGACCATAGACCCCCTACTTGAGGGTACAAGGAGGGTCCCGGTGTTTTACGAATCTGCCCATGATTTCGGGACTTGGGCCGGCTACGGGTTTCTGGGTTCTCAGAGCTCTGCAGCTTTTCCCGGCTTAGATATTACACTACTGGATACCGTGCGAAGGCCTGATCTCGACAGTCGCAGCAGTAGACATGGTGTGAAAGGTTTACGGACAGGAGTGGCTGCTGCATATGTAAAGTATCGCAGTCCCAAACAACGAGAAACGCTTCATTGGGTTTGTGGATCATGCACGAACGTTTGTTGAATCAACAGCCTGTTTGAGAAAAGGAGTGTCCTGCCGTGGTTGTCGCCAACCGAGGAGAGGGTGACAAGGCAGTTGCTGGATTTTGCGGGTATTCGGTTTAGGCCTATGGCTTTTGTTAGGAAGACTTCTATTTGCGTTGCAATAGTAGCCCCTTTTGTAGTGATGGCATGCATAGTGTTTCCATTCCCCCCGTCCTCTGATTACAGGCCCAGAAAACCTAAGTCTTACGCCCAAAAGCTGACCGAAGACATGGGCCAGGAACCTAGGGTTTAGGGTTTAGGGAACTAACCTTGATTCATCCTGAGCCTCAAGCAACAGCATGTAGGAGTTTAGCTTTTACAGGGTTTGGGATCCTTCGGCGGCGTTGTTTTGTCATTTTCTCATTTGCACGCGGTTGATCGCCGACTCTCTGATCATAAGGTGCCTTAGGCCGCGGTATTATGGTGACCGCAGGGTGCTAAGTGTTGTTTGAACCGATGTTACTCTCCTTTCATGCTCTTACCCCTAAACCCCTAAACCCCAAAACCCCTAAACCCTAAAAGCCCTAAAACCCTAAAACCCCTAAACCTTGAGCCGGTAGGCAAGGGACTGAGTAAGTACATTCTAGTCATCCCCAGGAGGTCTCATGATCCTGTCGTGGCGATCTGTAAGCTGAAACCGACAGCTTGAAACTCAAACTCTGAGAATCCTAGAGACCCTGAAAGCCAACTCCAGAAGGTTGGACATGGAGAGAACTGTGTCTAGGTTCTCCAAAACTTCTCCAAAACTCCAATTCCAAAGGGTATCAGGATGACCCTGCACCCTACGCCCTTGCTCGCTTTCCGCCAGGCCTTCTTAGTTCTGGAGCTGAAGCGCAGCAATTCATCTTCGGGAGACTATCTGCTCCCCTTCGTGCCGCTTGGCCGGATCGTGAAAAAAAATCTAGAGGATGGCGACTTAAGTTGGTGAGGTATTCACATTCCATGTCCAAGACCAGGGCATGAAGGGTTTGGCGGTTCTCTCTGCTTCCTTTCGCCTCTAGCTTCAGAGAACATCGTGAGAGTGTGAGTTGAAGCATCCGAATGTTGAGTCAAACTTTTCAGGAGACCTATCATATTACATTGCACTGCATCACCTTATATTTTATGTTGACGCTGAGGCTCTAGGCCGCCAAGCCTGTCCCAGTGCGCCATGATCTTGGTTTGTAGATTTTCTCGTCGTGGCTCTCTGCGTGACGGCCTGTTCGGTTGTGCTTCTGCTGCTCCTTGATTGTGCCTCGTGGTTTTCGCTTCACATTGTCGACGAGATCGGCGATCTCGCCCGCTACGGTCGGAGAAAGCGCAGGAAGTAGCCAGAGCAATGACCTCAACGGACTTTTGCAGATGCGCGTCCGCCGCCAGCTGTCTAAGGGGGTGGCCGGAACTCGCCTTGTGGAATCGATCGCGGAGGCCGTAGCCGAGATCCGCGAAAGGGAACATGCGCCAGTTCCAGATGCGGAGGAGGAGGTGTGTCCCTCGGCAGCTCGATGTTGACAGAAACAAGTGGATCCTGTGATCCACTCGTCTCTGTCGACATGGAGAGCTGTCGCTCGTTATACGGTGGCCTTGACAACAATGGCTTGGTGAGGATTGACCTCGTCGAGCACCCGGATGGACAGCTGTGCACTTGGAAGACCGTGTCGAAAGCAAAAGTAGCCAAAGCCAAGGAGGCCAAGGAACAGAGACTAAGGAAGCCATATTCTTTGCTATAGATTCCTATTATGGTAACTGAAATTAAGTTCGTTAACAAGAACTCAGTTTAGGGTGGGTTCAGGGTTTACACAGTTTAGAGTTGCAGGGGCGGGGCGCTCTGTCTACGGATTGAGCTCCCCAGACCGGCATGCTTTCACCCCCCCATATATATATATATATATGTATATATATATGTATGTATACATACACATGTATATATATATACACATACACACACATGCATATATATATATGTATGTGTGTGTACGTATGTAGTATATACAGGTATATAGATATGTGGACTTTAGCTAAATCCCTTGAAGTCCATGAGCCTGAGGAAGGTCGCCATGGATTCCATCGACTTGACAATTGACGATGCCTGGCTAGATCCGCTGCAGGCAGGAAGCTTTTTAACAGTGTTCCATGAATTACCCATAGGCCCCTAAGTAGTGTTCCTCTTTGTGGTTTATATTTAGAATCCTATAAGGTAATCCCAAAAAGGAACTACTTAGGGGCCTATGGGTAATGAGTCAATAGTGGGTTTAGGGTGCTTGGGCGCTCAACCCCCCGCAAAAGCAGGGTTTACGGGCTTTCAGGGCAGTGTGGGGCTTGATCCCTTGTAAGCTCGGAGTTTATTGAATTGTACGAGACCCAGATTAGGTTTACAAGTCTATCCCGCACACAATGAAGCCGGAGAGCCGCAAAAGCCCAGTATGTGGGCACCGAGCCAGACACTTCAATCTGTTGCTATAAACCGGACTAGGGTTTAAGGGTTAGTAGGTAAACCCTAAACCCTCACCCCAGAACCCAAACCCTTGACCGGAGTATTTGCATTCCCAACGGTGACGGAGATGGATCACGTGTCCAACAGCCTCCAGCATCTGGAGCTATGGTATTCCCTTCGAATCCCTAAGAGAATTATGGTCTAATCTAGCCCGAAACCCAATTCCACGGATTAAGGTCCCTGGAAAACACTCGCCGAGGCTCATCGTTCTGTCGCGGTCATCTTACGTATCAACCCTCAGCCCTAGCCCCACTCCAAACCCTAAACCCTATAAGCCCTACTACCCAGAGGCTCCGTAGTAGTTCCTTTTCGGGATTACCTCATAGGATCCTAACTATAAACTATAAAAGCAACTACTATGGAGCCTCTGGGTATTGGGCTTCAGGTTAAGATTCACGTAATGAGCCCAAAGCCTCCAAGAACTTAGGGCTGAGGTGATATAAACCCTAAACCCATGAACCACACATCCCAAACCCCTCTAAGAATCCTTGCAATGGAAGCCTGCGAACTGAACTGAATGATGCTTGAGGCCCAAGAAGTGCCACTAGAGAGCATCAGCCTTCCTTTCATGCTGCTCCAACAAGCTGTGCGACTCAGAGACCATGCTTGCTGTGGCTTGCGATGCGGGTGACAACACCCACAAACTGAAAGCCTTAAGCCCAACATCCTGGTTGTCCCTTAGCCGAGCACGTGGCCCGTGTTCCAGTCCTGGGCGGATCAGCTTCGCAGCGGCGCGTCCCTTCGTCGAGGCATTTGGGAACGGAGAGAGAGTTAAGAAATCTACGTATACCTTAAACAAAAATATAATTTGAGCCCTCCAAATTAGGGTATTTTCTCCAATCCAGTGGTTTTTGCTTCTCTGGGGAATTCATAGTCCCTTTAGTAACGGTACTTAGTAACGGTTCGCTTAAGAGTGTCTTTGGGGGTCCTCTCCGGCTCCTTGGTGTCCTTGAACGGTTCGTGAGGGCTCCCGCAACAAATAGTTTGTCAAAGGATTCCTGTGAGGGTCGCTATGAGTTACAAGGGTTCCGAAGGGGTTTTGTAATGAGTGTCACGGGTGTGAGGCTCGGGGATTCGAGCAGACGTGTCTAGTGATTCAGGGGTTGCTTACCGCCTTTGAGCCCAAAACCTACGCCCTAAAGTCAAAATCACTAAGACCCTAGACCAACCAACCCAAACCGCTGGAAGACTCCATAGACCTGTGCGTTTTGGGATTCAGGATTTTACTGAAACTAAACTAAGCCTCACCAAAACTGAGTGTAGGGGTTTAGGGCTTCGGGCTCCTGCCAGTCCCAGGCCCTTACAGCCCGATCAGCTCCGGAACTCCCACACGGCCTGTCAATTCAGTTTGGCGAAATCCAAACCCGGCAAATTCGGCGCCATCCCGATAGAAACCCGAAAGCCTAAAACCCCCCCCCAAAAAGCCCCTAAACCATGATACACGAAAGACGTGACACTTGTGCCGGCGCCAGGTTTTCGCTTTGCCGACATTTCAAGCGTCGCGGGGCAGTCGGTGCTGGAAGGCTTCTATGCTGCCGGCATTCAGTCGTTTTAGAGAGAGAGAGAGAGAGAGAGAGAGAGAGAGCGAGCGAGCGAGAGAGAGAGAGAGACTGTAATATCGGGGCCTTAATAGTTAGAATAGGGTTCAGGTATATTATACTATAATTATAATAAGGAACCCCCCCCCAAAACCCCATTCTAATTATTAAGGCCTCTGCAGTAAACTTCGTTTATCCCACACGCTTGTTTCGCAACCTGCCTTCCCTGCCCAGACTGCGACAAACACCTGCATATAATAGAGGGACCTGGGTAGGGTTTAGCGGGTTCCTGATCAATCATGATAAGCCCGTAACATTCCGAGAATCTTATTCTACCTATGAAGTTACTCACTGCGTCAGTTCCAGCAAAGCAGCAAAACCCTAAAACCTAGAGCCCCGAAGCCCGAACAGGTTGACATGGGAATGGAAAAAATACGCAGACCCGTCAGAACCGAAATGTCCGGTTCATTCCTTATGGACGGCTGAATAAGGCACCCCTACTTGCAAGGCCCATCTGGACTCAATCAAACCGCATTTTTTCTACTAAGTTTTTGGAAGATACCAGACTGTCCCGGGAAGAGTCTACCGTGACTTCTAGGGACCTCAGCGTCTCCCTGAACCCTACACCCAGGTTACGAGCCTCCTCCGCTTCCAGCGGTCATCCAAGTGGACAACTTCTTCATCTCGAAGGCATGCGAAATCCAGAGGATAGGGTGAAGGGTTTCTATGAGGGTTCTATACCAGGGTTCTTTTATACTTCTTGTGTTATCATATACCTCAAAGCCTTTTTCTTATTCTGAAGGCTTGCGAAATATGGTGAATATTCAGGGTGCACACTTCGAGCTTACAAAGGGTGGAGTTTGAGGTATGAAAACAAATCGCAATAGTATCCTCTCGCAGTTCCATGACATGCAGGCGAACCTATGCACAGATTTGCACTCAGTGCTGGAGTCTACGGAAATACATATACGGTCTTTACATGGTCTCTAGCGGTACTGGGAGGATCAGCAGGACATACTAGATTGTATTTAGGGGTATAGCAGCACGCACAACTGGGCTTACACTGATTCTACGTGCTGCGTCCCTGGTCGTCCACGCAGCCCTAGTAGAGTTTCGTACCGAGCCGAGAGCGAGCGTTGAGACTGCTGAGCGATTACCCATAGGCCCGTAAGTAGTTCCCTTTTGTGGATTATTTTTAGAATCCTATAAGGTAATCCCAAAAATGGAACTACTTAGGGGCCTATGTGTAGCAAGCTCACCCTTCACTCTGTGTGCAGGTGGATCTCACTGTTTGGTGTGCGCTGAAGCTACGCACGGTGCGGTTCCTGCCGCAGTGGATTCGCACGGTGCCGTTGCGAGAACATGGAATCCGGTCTTTGCTTGACGGTTTCTGACTATCCGAAGCTGCTTCCTAAACCCTAGTAACCCAGTAGACAGCTGTTCATCAATCATCCTGCCTGGATATGGGTTCTTCATAACTACGGCTAATGATAACAATCCTGCACTACCCATTATAAGGACGATAGGATGATTCCCATAGTTTAGGGTCCTTAAGGTAATGCAGGTTCAATATCATCAACAGTAGAAAATCAAACCCTAGACCCCGAAAGCCACCTGCTGTAGGGTCCCAACAAAAAGGATTCGGATGCTATAACGGTGGGGAGTAAAGAGGTATCAACAAAGATGCGCCCATTTCTGGCGTGTGTAACATGCCGTTGTAGGTGTTTTAGAAGGCTTCGGTACTTGGTGGGTTCAAGCTGACAGCTGGTTTGTATCTTCCCAGGCTGTTCTTTCTTGGATGGCGGATAGAAGCCACAGAATCGTAGCAAACTCGGCGCCGAACATGCTCTGGGGGCCCGGCTTCAACTCGTGACAGCGACTAGAGAAGTCATTAACGGCTGTCAAGCATACAACCCTATATTTAACTGGCTAGCTAGAGAACAAAATTTTAAATCCGAACTTCCTAATGTGTCTGTATTCAACCATATACAGCCTTCTTTCACCCCTAGTTAATCACTTGGCCAGAACCATCCAGCCCACACCTTTACTTCGTGCACCGTCGCCAAGACTTGTTTCACCCAGCGAAATATGCGTAGAACAAACAACGACAAGGCACCCTAAGGCGCAAGGCCTGAGCCATAAACCCTTAACCCCTAGCCCTAAACCCTAACTAATCCGAAACCCCTGAGCAACACATGGGTAGTTCTCCAAATTAGGGTCCCTTTCTAGGTCCCCAACACAGTACAGAGGACCCTAAAAGGGACCCCAGTTTAGAGAACTACCCACATAGAACCCTTATAGTACAGTTATAGAGACCCTTGTAGATCCAATTAAGGAGCCCAAAAAGGGGGACCCTACTTTAGAGAACGACCCACATCCAGGCGCACATACCTACAAACACCCTCTGTACGGTGTCATACCCCTGTGCCGCGATTTAGAGAACTACCAGCCTCCAGACCATCCCCAGCCCGTAAGCAACACCCTAAACCCGCCTAGACCCCCAACCGTATAAACCCTAAACCCTGTAAGCCCTAAACCCATCCAGGCCATCCGCATGCTTTCCTTTTCGGGTCAGCTGACACTCGACGGAGTCGACCTGAAACTTCCGGAGACCACGGGGCAAATGGGTTTAGGGTCTTGAGGGGTTTTGAGTCGTTTTGGGCCTTTAGGGGTTAGTCACAGTTTTGAGGGTTTAGGGTTTTCAGGGTTTTAGGGGGATGAGGGATTAGGGTTTTGGGTTTAGGTTTCGTGTTTTCGGGTTAAGGGGTTCGGGCTTCGGGTTTCCATCAGGATTCGAAGCCTCTATCAGGGCTTGAGGACCTTGTTGGGTAGGGTTTTTAGGTTAGGTTCTATGGCGTTGCTCTAGGGGCAAAGGCAACATGCGAGATCTGATCAGGGCTTCAAGCGGTGCTTTGTTGGCATGTAACGGGTCCTTGAAAGATTCGCTACCAGGCAAACCTGAGCGCTCTGAGACAAGACCAAGAAAAAGTCTACATCCCAGCGGCGTGCTCCAATCTTGTTCCCGACCCAAGCATCCCCTTTACGTTGCCACCTCTAGGAAACTGGATGGGTAGTTCTTTAAAGTAGGGTCCCTTATGGGGTCCTTTTTAAGGGGTGCCGTACCATTTTAAGGCTTGAAACGGGACCCTAACTTCGAGAAGTACCCATTTGCATGGCGGAAGGTAGATGCTCCGCGAACCCAGTAATTTCGCAAGAGTGGCCTGGTGAAGCTTGGTGTTGTAGGTCCCGGATACAAACCTTCATGTCCAGTTTGCAGTGATCCTACACAACACGTTGGCTGGGTCTCGGACTCAGGTATCTACACTCTCGACTACGTCTCGAGACACCAAGTAAGCCTCGAACGTTAAACGTCCGTAATCGTCAACCCTAATCTTAACCCTATCCTCAGCCATGAGAGAGGGAAAAATCTTAACCCTAGGGTACCAAGTCAAACAGTACCTACTTTGGGGTCTAAAGTCTGTAAACAGTACCTACTTTGGGCTATTTGGAGCCCTAGGGCAATCCTTCAGCCTTTCTCCGGACGTCAGAAGTCCATGCACCCTCAACCCCGCGTCCCAAATCCTTGAACCTTACTTGAACCTCTTTCAGATCGCAGTCAGAGCAAACCCCAAGCCTTGAACCCCAAGCTCGTTGGCTTAGGGTTTGGGAGGAACCCGAAGCATGATCGAAACCCTGAACTTGAACCTTATATTGGTTTAGGGTTTAGGGTTTGTTTAGGGTTTAGGGGTTTAGGTTTTAGGTTTAAACCCCGAAGGGAATCATCCGATAAGGATGGAACGATGCAGAGAAGACTCCTGCGCTGGCTGACACACATGACTCGAGAAGTGTACACAAATTGTTGTTGCGCCAGAACGAACGCACACAGCCGAAGTCTTAGAAGCCATGAATTCCAGCTATACCCATAGGATCCTTAGTAGTTCCTTTTTGGGATTACCTTATGGGATTCTAAATATAAACCATGAAAAGGAACTACTTAGGGGCCTATGGGTGTATCCCCAAACCCTAAACCCTAAACCCCAAACCTTGGAACGCCTGAAGGAGCGGAACATCCCACCACACCGCGGCTCCCTGCACGACTTCCTTCGGGGCCTTGGCGCGATGTGCCTCAGGGAGCTTAATGCCTTTAGGGTCTGTGGCTTATGAGGCTTTTCGGACTTCGGGTTTAGGGCTTGGGGCTTTTAGGATTTAGGGTTTAGGGTTGATGGCTTAGCGCTTTTAGGCCTTTGGGTTGGAGTTAAGGGGATTTGAGGTTTCAGGGCATGCCCTCTAGGAATTCAGAGTACAAAGGCTTCAGGACCCCAACTTTTAAGAGTGACTTGGCCCATAGGGTAAAGTGTAGTGCCTGTCTTTAGTTTTCCTGAGTCTCTTGTTCTAAGACCCTAATCATAGCAGAAGTCATCCCGTTCACGGATGCTTCAAGCATCTCCCCCCTGTGCGAGCGTAATTGTCGAAGCCCTGAACCTTCTCAGTCCTTCATGCCCCGTGGCAACGCTGCGATAGAAGCCTGAGCAAGTACCAAGATGTTCCTTGCGATTTCTTGATCAAAACTGATACTTCCGATAGGCCCCAAAACCCTATCACGAATGGGCCTCCGATGCCAGATCCCCAACGACCTCGGTACAATTTCCGAACTCGAACCCTAAATTCATAAACCCTGAACCTCAACCCTGCACGACCTAAACGCATACCTACAATATCTACAGGCCCCACTTATGGGTTCAGCGTGTAGGGTTCTTAAGCCCATCCCTAAGCCTCCGAGGACTCGCAGTTCGAGGTTTTGATGCCCAAAGACCATGGCTGTGCTGTATAATTATAAGGCTTGTGGGTTCCTGCGATTTTTTGTTCTGATGATTCTTAGGGTTTAGGGTTTAGGGTATTTTGCTCAACATCTGCACATGTTCACTGGGCATGGCTCCGGCTAATTGGATAGAGCTCCCGATTCAAAAAGAAATTGTCATTTTGAGCCTGAGGCTCGAATAGCCATAGCCCCTTCCTGAAAAGAGCAATCCCAAAGCCGGTCAGCCAAGATCTTCCTCAATCAGGAATACCTACCCAGAGGCTCCATAGTAGTTCCTTTTTATAGTTTATATTTAGGATCCTATAAGGTAATCCCCAAAATGGAACTGCCTAGAACTATATAGGGGGCTCCCAAATATGATTTACAGGTATCGCTGAACCAATTAAAAATTGGAAGACCTAGCAAGTACAGAGCAAGCCGTAACCCCGAAGCCAAGACCCTGAGCCCTAAACCTTGAACCCCGAACCCTAAGCCTCAAACCCCGGACCTAGTCAGCAAAGCGGGTGGGAAAAAAAACCCTAAACCCTAAACCCTAAACCCTTGGCTATGTGGGAGGGAAAGAAACCCTAAACCCTGAACCTTCAATCCTAAACCCTCAGACTTAAACCCTGAACCCTGAACCTTAAACCCCAAAGGCCCTAAACCCTGAACCTTCAATCCTAAACCGTCAGGTACGCAATGAACCTCCTCAGCCACATGGGCGAACTCCTGGGCAAGAGCTCCGCTGCTTCGGCCGCAGGATGCTGCGGGGATTGCCCTTCAGGTTTACAGTAGAAGCCCCAAAGGGTTAGGGTTTAGGGTTTTAGGGTTTTACGGTTTAGGGTTTCAGGGTTGAGGGTTTACAGTACCCAGAGGCTCCGTAGTAGTTCCTTTTTATAGGTTATATTTAGGATCCTATCAGGTAATCCCGAAAAGGAACTACTATGGAGCCTCTGGGTAGAAGCCCCAAAGATGGAAACCCATTAGCCTCAATCCTTACCCTAGGGCTCCAAGTATACAAATAGTACCTACTTTGGGCTATTTGGAGCCCCAGGGTTAAGAGCAATGTATAGAGAATCCCAGCACTGCTTGTCCTTAACCCGGTTTCCAAATTTTTGGGATTGACTATATCCAAGCACATGCTGAAAAGGCTTTAGGAGTTTAAAAAAGAGGCCTAAATAATTACCAAGTTTTTTTCCTAAGGGCTGGCAGCTGCACTGCAGCCCCCCCTCCAAAAACAATGTTTGGGGTTTAGAAATTAGGGTGTAGGGTTTAGGAATTAGGGTTTGGGGTCTGCGGCCTGGAATGAGTTTTGGGGTGCCGGACCGCGAAGCTCTAGCTTTGGTGTACTTGCAGACGCTATGCCTTCCTTCCTGTTGGTCTGGGTATGTCGACGTAGGCCTTGACATGATTGTGAGTCATGAGGCTTCCACAAGAGTTCGGGACTTAAGGGCTCGAGGGCTCAAGGGGTTCCAGGTTCAGGGTTCACGGGAGTGAGCAGCTTGCGAACCGCCGTCCTCACCCGCGGACAAGGCCTTGGTTGAACATCTTTGAACTAACCTCCAAAGCGAGCCTGACTGAAAAACCAGCAACTCGAGAAACGGAAGCACGTCCCCAAATCGCTCGTCCTGCGCCTTGAAACCGAGACAAGGATGCCCACCTGCCGGTGAGCTGGAGCTTGATCGGTAGGCAGTCGATCATCTGATATACAAGCCTAAATCATTGCTGGTATTGCTCATAGGGTTCCTTATTATGAATATAGTATAGATAAAAAGAATCCCAAAACCTTATTGCAAAAAAATTGAGACCCTTACACTATGAGTTGCGAAGTGGGTTAGGTATTCCGCAACGAAATGGCTTTCATGTCAAGGGTTAAAGGTTGAGGGCAAAATCTTCATTCGAACTTGCAACAGCCTGGGCCCCGAACTTTTCAACACCTACCCTGAAAGATCTTGCAACACTCACTCCGGAAGACCAGAGTAATTTAAGATCGGACCGACCGGCATAGCTTGTTTAGGTTACCGAAGCTTCTCTGCAAAAGCCCTGCCTATGTTCGACTCTTGAGCATAGTGCAGAATTCATGCTGAGGAAAGAAGTGAGGCCGGATCGACATCAGCATGGCAGCCCAAACATTTTTCCAAAAAAATGCATCCCACGTTATGTAGGCTTCAGGAACCCTAAGCTCCAAACCCTTCTTGGGCAAAGGTCTTGAATCTTCCGCGGGTTCCCCTACGTATTCTGATGACGAGTGGCAGCTCCCTGGGCTGCAGAAGGGTTTTAGGGGTTTAGAGTTTTAGGGTTTTAGGGTTTAGGGTCTATAGGGTTTTAGGGTTTAGGGTTTAGAGTTTTAGAGTTTAGGGTTTAGGGTCTAGAGTTTTAGAGTTTAGGGTTTAGGGTTTAGGTAAATAAAGTTTAGGGGTTTAGAAGTTTAGGGTTCAGAATCGGGCTTCCCTGCCTGCGAGAGTTGCAGGGGAACGGATCCCGAAGGGAAGGAGGAGAGTCCTAAGGGTTTAGGAGCCCTAAACCCTACCTTTTAGTCTCCTTTAATTACAGTTTTTGTTTAAGGAACCCTGAAACGCTACCTTTTGTCTCCCTCCCGGTTTTGTTTAACCAGATTTAGATCTAGGATCCCATAAGATAACCCAGAAAAGAGATGATGCTAGTAGTATTGCCTCATAAACGGACAAGAGCACGCAAGGGGGAGAGCGGAGTTGGGGCGGTTTGAGGTCCCAATTCCGGGTATGTTCGGATTTCTGAAGACTAAAGACCAGAAGCCTCGTAAAACATGCCCGAAATAAGTGCCTTTGCTGTTGGAATAGAGTGTCCATGTGTAGAGCCGGAGAAAGGGCAGCTTCCTACTTGATATGCTCTCATGCTTTGCGAGCTGGAGTCCTAAAATTTAGCTTGTGACAAATCCCGGTTCGACTCATCTTCAGTTTCCCAGCTCCAATGCCAACAACCCGAGACCCCCCCTTCAGTGCAGAAATGAAGGGGGTTGTTGTCATTCTAGAAGGGCTCCCTGGCTTCGTCTGAAGTCGTCTGCTTCGAGCAGAGGCACCAAACTCCCCTGGGGACCTCGTCGCCGAAATTCAAAGCATCGAAATAATCACACAGTATCCAACTCTGACATCTTAACTATAGTGTTAGAAGATAAGTTAACGATAAGAGATATTATGGATACAATTTAAATGCTGTTGAACCGGCCCGGCTCCTGCGTTGAGCCCTGACAAGTGGCTCCAGGCTACGTGACGGATTCCTTCTCTCAGATGACTGGCGAGGTCGGGCTAGCTAGGGTGTAGGGTTTAGGGTTTTGGGGCAGGGATGGGGAGTTGGCGACTTCAGCTGCTAAGGTAGGGTGTAGCTCTCACTCTCAAAGCCCTAAACTCTAACCCCGCCCCCTGCAGACAAAAGCAAAACAGAGCCTAATTTGGGCTGGAACTCGTATTCTGAAGACGATCTGATCTCTAGACTCTAACCCCCCTCAAAAAGCAACAGAAACCTTAATTTAGGCTGTTCTCACCCTCAAAGCTCTAAGCCCTAACCCAAAAAAAGGCAGAACACAACCTAAACTAGGCTGTAACTCTCATTTGGGATCAGGGGCCTTCGGGCCCTTGTCTGCCAATTAGCGGCCCGGGACCTCACAGAATGAGATGCCCCTTGTCGGTACTAATAGAGGCCGTGCTATTTTGGGGTTAGGGTTTAGGGCTTGGGTATATGCTGGGCCCCAAAACCCCATTCTAATTATTAAGGACCCTACATTGCCCGACCCGACCGAGTGGTTTTGATAGGGGTTGTCACCAGGTAGTCTGGAGTTGAGGGGTTTAGGGTCTAGAGCCTAGGGCTTTAGGGTGTAGATTTTAGGAATTTTAGGGCTAGAGGGTTGATATTCTCGAGTTATTCCAAATGGATGCCTCGCCACCTTGCCCCCAGAGGCTTCTTTCGACCACACAAAAGCCAATGACACCCTAAACGAAGAACACACAGAGCCAGACCATCCAAGTGTGAGCGTCAGCGCCAACCACAGCCCTGACATGGGTAGTTCTCTAAACTAGGGTCCCTTTTAGGATCCTTTTTTATAAGGGTGCCGTGCTATATTGGGGACCTAAAAGGGACCCGAATTTAGAGAACTACCCACATACTAAACCACACTCTAGACACCCACACGAGAAACAGTACACAGAACCCTCAAAAGCTAGCCTAAACCCCAAACCTCTCGAGACACACGAACCACCTCGCCTGGATTGTCCGAGTGTGAGCGCCGAAACCTCAAACAACTGAACCCTGAACCCCCAGGCCTTGAATCCTCAATCCTAAACCCCTAGACCCTAAATCCTAAACCCCTAAACCCCTAAATCCTAAACCCCTAGACCCTAAACCCTAAATCCTAAACCCCCGAGACCAAAAGCTCGGAAGGCGGCTTCCCTTCTGAGCACACTGACTTTGGACGAGGAGCATTCTCGCCGCAAGATCCATCGGGATCCTTTGTCCAGCGGTCTTCCTTAGGGTTCAGGGAGGGTTTAGGGATGGGTATATGGTATAGTAGATCGACACCATCGCCCTAAGCCTCCAAACACTCCTGCTTAGCCCGGAGGCAATGCTTTGCGAGGAGGCTTGTGGGCTGTTGCTGTAGGAGGCTTAGGTGCGGTAGAGACTCGAGATTTGTGTGGTCTGTACCGATAAGAGATGCTATACGAGAGTTGCATTTTGTTAGTTGAAAGTTAGCCATTAGGAGCGGAATTACGACCACGAATGACTTGTCTATGTTGCTACTGCTACTGCTACTTTAGTACTACACATGCTACTACTGCTGCCGCTGCACCTGCTAGGTGTACTACTATTAACTATGTGCTCACTGCTAACTACTAGTACTGGTACTAGTACCGTACTATTACTAGAACGACTACGCCTATTGCTGCTGCTGCTGCTGCTACTACTACTACTACTACAACTACTACTACTACTACTACTACTGCACCCTACCACCTACTTCCCACTACTGCTACCACTCCGGCTGCTGCCACCGGTTGTTTTGAAGTTAAACACAACCCACTGACGGGAATATGGCGGTCACGCATCTTGCTGAAACAGACCGGTACTGTTTTAATGGTGCTCTGCCTGAGGTACATCGCACGCCAGAGGCAGATCCGGAATGCCAAGCAGATCGAGCAACTCGTGTCAAACTGTGGTGGTTTGCGGAGTTGCACGTCGGGCTTCGCAAATCGTTCTCTGCTTGAATCCCCTCGCCCTGAACCAACCTTAGTATTTGCACCCGGCGCTGACTGAGTGGTACTGCTGGCTCGATTCAAGGGCACAATTTCACGAACGAATTTCACGAACGACGTCTGAAACAAACCTCACCTTTGCTGCGTTCACCAACCCTTGAACCCTGTAAGCTTCGCGTGCAAAGCCTGCATGGGGCCTCTGAACATGAACCGTCCCTGCCGATCCCTCTTCATCCATTAGGGTTTAGGGTTTCCGGGCACATGCCATGCTTTATAGTTATTTGTGCTTCCCAAGTGGTCCGACGCAATACGACCAGTGACTACATACCCTATACTACCCCTAACCTGAACACTCGAGATGCCTCAAGGGAATCCCCTAAGCCCGTTTAAGGCGCTAACTTGGAGGTTCAGTGGGGTTATAAGTACGGGGTAACTAAGTTATGACCCCATATTAGGGGACTTATAACCCCACTTGTAACTACCCATGAACCTCAAAATAGGAATCCTTTCCTAAACCCTAAAGCCCTAGCAACATGCGGAAACGGCCCGAACAGTCCGTTATCGTCCCAAGGAGTATTCAGGATGGTCTTGCCGAAGCCGGGAAGTCTCTGCAGCAGGGACGCCTGATTGGAAGCTTAAGGGCTGTGGGTGTCGAAGCAACAGGATCATGTTCCGGCCAAGCTTACTAACAGCAGGTGTTCAGGGTTTGGAGTCTGGGCGCTAGGCTGAGTGGCAATGGGTACATTCCCATTATAGAAACCCTACTTACTTTCTGAATATAGGTACTTAGGACCTTTGGCAAAGAACCTGCGGCATGTACCGGTGGTCCAGGAATCGATGGCCTTGCAGACATCGTGCGCGAGCCGATGAGGGGTGCTGAACAAGATGGCGTTGCAGGCGGGGCGGCTACTACGAGCTTCACGAAAGCTGGAAGCATGACCAATCGAGTGCCTACATAGCTAGCTAGATTGGTTATAGTGTTTGCACCTATACACGTTTTACACAGAGATAGTTGTGTGCCGCCACAGATGTTCCCTCGGACCGGCAAACAAGGCCCCCTCTCCCCCCGAACACCCGAACACCCCCGAAGCCTAAAGAATTAATAGGTGTAGGATTGCGACATTCATCAGATCATTAGCCGAACTTGGCGAAAGCACGACATGCATTTCCCAAAATCCAAGAACCCCGTGCAACTTCCGAAAATCCTGTCCCCCTACAGCACCAACACTCAAGGATCCGACATCCTTCGCCCCTGAAGGGGTAAACTGGAACTACGATGTGAAACCCTGTGTCTACCGCAATCCTAATTCCTAATTTGGAAGAATTAGATAGACGCGCCGCAACCGTAAATTGAAAATCCGGAACCGTGGCACGGCAGGCTTTTTCACAGGCCTTGGACGTGGTTTGGTAGGCTCCTGTGTGAAGCCGGCCGCTGGACGGCACAGAGGCAAAGGGTGTTTTGGGGCAAGTAGATGTATTCCTACCCCTGAGCAATGTTTGGCTTTGGGGCTCAGGGTGTAAGCTTTCTTGGTGGATGGTGCAGGGCTGAGGGGTGTTGCTGGGTTTGGTTGTCAGTTTGGGTTGTACTGCACATTAATTATAGAACCATGCTTCCCGAGAGAACTGTTTTGGAATCAACTGCGCAGTCTTGGGACGCGGACTGCCACGAGAGCCTAATATCCATATTGAATACAGAGCGAACTGTAGCGGGACCTACCCTGAACCCTAAACCCCTAAACCCTAAACCCTAAACCCCGAACCCTAAAAAACCCAAAACCCTGAACCCTAAACCCTGACCTGTAGCGCGGCTTACGGTAGAGAGCTAAGTGAAGTCGGGCCATCCCTTGCCCGGCGAAGATGGGAGATCTTCTATAGCTGCTTTAGGGGCCTTCGTATGTACTAAATTTTAATAAAGCCTTAAAGCTCGTATATACATATGTATGTATGTGTATATTATATATATATGTATATATATATATACATATACATATACATATATATATGGAGCCTTAGGGATAGGCTTTCGAGTTCTGGTTTTGCATCAGTTAGGGTTTCGGGTCCAGATTTTGGATTGCGGCAGTCTTTGACGTGTCACAGGATCCTGTACCTACCCAGAGGCTCCTTAGTAGTTCCTTTTTGGGATTACCTTATAGGATTCTAAATATGAACCCCAAAAAGGAACTACTTATGAGCCTATGGGTAGGTGTTCAGCGAGGTCTTGGCCGTCCTGAAAACTAAACCCCAAACCCTCTATACCCTAGGGCTCCAAGTATACAAATAGTACCTACTTTGGGGTCTAAAGTCTGCAAATAGTACCTACTTTGGGCTATTTGGAGCCCGAGGGATAGGGGCCCTGCAGCATGTTGTAGTCTAGGGTCTAGGGGCTGCAATAGGCCATTGCTCTCACAGCTGCCCGAACTGCGTACTAAATGTATGTTGCCCCTTACCGGTGCTTGCAGAAGCTCAACAGTGCTAGCAGAATGGGAGGACAAAATGAAAAATCGCAAGACCACGGATTATGATAAAGAGCCGCCATAATAATGTAGGTAAGTATTAAGGCCCCTATATTGAACCTTATAAACCCTAAACCCCCAAAACGTAGGTAAGTATGAAGGCCCTTATCTTAAACCCTGTAAACCCTCAACCCTAAAGGTGAGCTTCAGGCTCCCTTCTCCTTTCCACCCCGAAATGTCCGGCACCCAAGGTCTCCAACGTGGGCCTAGCGATCCGTGACGTGGGTTCAGGTGTCGAGCAGAGCTTTAGCAGATTGGACTTTCCGACAATTACGGGTACCTTATTTTGGGGCTACATACCTACATACCTGCATACATGCATACATGCATGCATACATACATACATACATGTACAGTGCGACGGGGAAGAAGACGTCTATATGGAGTTAATATAAATGTATGTGTACATACGTACACACGCATATCTATATATATATATACACATACATACATATATAGTTATACATATGTCTGTATGTGTATACACACGAGCACTCCTCGCCTGATCCGTCGAGCGCGAGTGCTAAAATTACACACGAGTACTACACATCTACCTGTAGTGTACGTGTACCGCCAGTGAGCTTCAGTCGCATGTTGTCAGCGATGAGACCAACACTAGCGTGGTCGAACACATTTTACAACAACGGTTGTGCATCGTCTATCCCAACCACCCTAAACGGACCGACATGTTTCATGTGGCCTGTGTTGCAGCATGTAACTCCTTTCACGCTTACAATGTCACCGGTGCAGGGTTGAGCACCCTAGCCTTAATGCAACTTAACTTCAACAGTGCTACAGTGCTTGGGGGGGCCAATGCATTGATTGGAGAGAGTTTACAGAAGCATAAGTCCGCTTCGAGGATGATTTAGGGTGTAATCTTCACGGCCTGCGCGGCGTAGTCTGGTTCCTACGAACCCGAAGCAGCTCATTTCTTCGGCTAGTGGTATGCTTGTCTTTATGGAGCAGTTGAAAACATTAATGTCCACCTGTCTGCACAGGCATTGCCAACACCATAAATCCTGACTCCAATGCCACGAAGCGGCGGCGCCGCCGCTTCCGGGCGAGGTGCTTCTGGTGTTGTTTATAATAACTAGGCTCCCCAGTAGTACCCTTTTGTCCTTTTTATTTGGGGGGTCTCCTTGTTAAAGCGAAAACGGGTACCCTTATTGTTAAGGGGTTACTGGGGAACCTAGATAAGATACGTATAAACCCGAAGCCCAAACTTGATGCCATAAACGAAGCGCGAAACCTGTGCCCCAAAGCGAAGTGGTAATATAGGGGCTTCAATAATTACCTATAGTAATTTTGGGGGCTCCTTCTTATTATTATACTATAGCATACCCCAAGACCCTATTCTAATTATTCAGGCCCCTGGATTACTGAGGGGAGTTGAGGGGCCTCCATGGTTTCACCAGGTCTTCGAATCCATGGCTTTGTAAGGCGGCCTGCAACGACAATGGGGAGAGCAATGATATGGGCAGTTCTCTGAAGAAGGGTTCCCTTTTAGATGCCCCAAATAGTACGGCAGCCTCGTAAAGACAGGACCCTAAAAGGGACCCTAATCTAGAGAACGACCCATATCGCAGATTTCCAAGCTCTGTTATAAACGACTGGAAGCCTAAATCCCAGAACTCTTCGACCCAATCGACCCCAGCACGACCTTAGGACTGAAACCCTGCGTCGAAACCCCAAGCTCTCCAAGGCCTACACCCTACACCCTCTAAGCCCGATCATGTCGAACACCTCTTCAACCCTCATCCCTGAACCCTATAGACCCTAAACCGCCTATTTTGGGATTAGTTTAGGGCTCAGGGTTTGGATTTAGGGGAAAAAATCCTCAGCCCAAATCCGGAAAATCCCAAAAAACCCGAAGCCGCCTGAAAGCCCTAAAAAACCTTAAACCCAAACCCTGAAAACCCCAAAAAGTAATCCCAAAAAGGCAGCCCCGGCTGCTCTTCGGAAAGCTGGGCGTCGTCCGTCCATGGTGTGAGCTGGAGGCGACTGAGGGACTCCTCGGCTTCCTGGGGGCCCTGGGGTTTCCGGGGGAAGTTGGGGGTTTAGGGGGTTTTGTGGGTTTTTGGGGTTTAGGGAATTAGGGGTTTAGGGGTTTAGGGTTTAGGGTTTTGGGGTTTAGGGTTTCGTTCAAAAGGGTTTTGGGGGTTTAGGGCTTAGGGGTTTGGGGTTTTGGGTTTAGGGGTTTAGGGTTTAGGGGTTTAGGGGTTCCAACTCCGGGCGAAGTGGAAAGCCTGTTGCAAAAAGGGGTTTAGGGGTTTTTGGGGTTTTGGGGTTTTAGGGTTTTGGGGTTTTGGGGTTTTTGGGGTTTAGGGTTTAGGGGTTTAGGGGTTCAGGGTTTATTCTGAGTTTCGGGGGTTATGTCTGCGAAGCAGGGAGTGTGTTTAAAACACTTCCCCTGCCTTTTCCTGGCAGGGTCGTTGCAGGCTGGTTGCAAAAGGGCTATCTATGGGGTTCGAAGTCTAGGGTTTACTTCATTGACATTTCGGTAGTTTTGTCTATGAGGGCTTTATGTTGCTATCTAGGCAATTTGTTAGCGTTTGTTTTTTCTTGCTGTGAGGTTTCAACTGATCTGGTACAGTGCCAGCCGTTCTTTTGAAGGGTTTTGGCGGTTCCCCCAAACCCAGGATCCGTTGCATGTCCGGTCTGGACCACGTTTGGGTCACTCATTGTTGAAGCTCCCCCAAGGCTCTCACATGGCGTTGTTTTAAGGATAGGAGGTTTAGGGGGTGTTAATATGGGGGGCTGGGATAAGGGGGATCATTGTTTTGGGGCTTGATGGATTTTTGGTACTAGGGGTTTGTAGCTTAGGGCCTTCGAGTTACATAACCTTCTGCGAGGGGAATGCGAGTATACATAAAATGGCACAGCAGGAGAAGCGACTTCGGGCTTGGATGTTTGCGGGCCCAGACATCAGCATGCAGGTGCAGAGCAGGATCCATCTGAATCCAGGGCCAGGTATTTCAAGCAACTATTTCACACCCGTGTATGACCTCCCGTCGCGATGCACCATGCCTCAGAAGCTTAAGCGGCTTCGTAGAACAGAGCATGTGCTTGAAGTTTAGCTAGCCCTAAGCCCCTGAACCTTAGACTCTCAAATCCTGTCCCCGAAAGTCGTCTTTCTTGTGTTCAATCGTGGATTCGACGCTTGAGCTTGGGGATCGTGCTCTCATGCACGGAGACTACGAGGAGAATCCTCTCACACGGTTGGCACATGCATACCGGAAGTGTACAAGCAGGGTTGGGTGGAAGCAAATGATTAATGATGTCTGAAGGTATTGCCGATAGTGGATAGGAATATGTCGTAGCCCCAGGTATACAGTATAAACAATACTACTTGTAACCTCACGTCCAAGTGCCACCAAGTT